GTAAATCTCACATTTGATGATGGACCACAGGTTCTCAATGGGGTTCAGATCAGGTGAACAAGGAGGCCATGTCATTAGTTTTTCTTCTTTTATACCCTTTCTTGCCAGCCACGCTGTGGAGTACTTGGACGCGTGTGATGGAGCATTGTCCTGCATGAAAATCATGTTTTTCTTGAAGGATGCAGACTTCTTCCTGTACCACTGCTTGAAGAAGATATCTTCCAGAAACTGCAGTTTCTGGAAGATATCTTCTGACTGCTGCATCCCTCTGCAAGATATCTCACTATTTTTGACTTTTCTGAGCCTGTCAAGTCCTTCTTTTGACCCATTTTGCCAAAGGAAAGGACGTTGCCTAATAATTATGCACACCTGATATAGGGTGTTGATGTCATTAGACCACACCCCTTCTCATTACAGAGATGCACATCACCTAATATGCTTAATTGGTAGTAGGCTTTCGAGCCTATACAGCTTGGAGTAAGACAACATGCATGAAGAGGATGATGTGGACAAAATACTCATTTGCCTAATAATTCTGCACTCCCTGTGTGTATTTTCACAATGTACGGTATGTAGTATGTGTACTATAGAAAAAAAACAAGGGTAACTACAGCTATTTATGCTTATTTATGTACTTTGCGTTTGTCGTTGGTGTTCTGCATTTTGGTGATGTGGCTGAGGTTGAACAGGCACGAGGCTGGTTGTTTTGTTATTTTATATGAATTTCCTGTGGTTTGTGCAACTTTCTCATGCTAAACAAGAACATCTGCCAGCAGTTTATTTACACTTTATTTACACCACGCCAAGGGTCTGTTTCAGAAAGACTGTGAAAGCAGGTTTGTGGTGCTCCATTTAAACTCCTCATTCATTTAGTGACTGGCAAATCTCATATCAGAGCATACTAACTTGTTAAAATGAATGTCTTTACAAACACTGAAGAAGCTTTTAAAATCAGTCTGCCATCAGTAGTGGCTTTATTATCAGCTCAGAACAAAATGTATACATCTTTCTCACGTTGTGACTTTGTGGTCTGTAAAGCAGCTGTCAGCATTTTGTGAAATATTTGTTGTAGCAATCACTATTTAGGTAAAAGTAACCTGTGTGAGTGTTCAAACATGTGAAACTCTGGTAAATCATTAGTCAGTTATTATATTGCAGTGACTCATATTGATGTTGGAGATAATGTAAATATATGAGTGAAGATGAGTGTGCTAAAATCATTAAGATTCTAAAACTGGGAAAAATTGAGCTTAAAGTGACCGTCAACAAATTTATCAGTGGAGCAGACCTCAGGGCATCCTGTGATTGGTTTTGCTTGGTGATAAAATGTAGAAATCTTGTACACCTTTTGCACAGAGTGGCAACTTTCTCATACTCACATGTCTGAGATACCAGCAAACTCTTGTTGCACTATTCAGTTACCAGTGCAATAAGAGTTTTTTGGGGAAGGAAATGTTGACTTTTATTTAGATTTACTTCAAACTCTGTAGTTTCTCATGAACATTATCTAATCTCACTTAATATTTGTGTGTGTGTGCGTGTGTGTGTGCGCGCATAGTTTCATTGTTGAAGTGAGAATGCTGGGGCTTGCTTTTTGTATTAAAAAGCAAGAAATAAAGTATTAAAAAATATATTAAGACATATTTATTAATGTCAAAATGCTCTAGATCAGGGGTGTCAAACTCATTTGACATCATGGGCCACATATAGCCCAGAAAAACGACATGATCATTTTGTGAAATTACAGAAAACATTCTGGTAGTTCATCTTCCAGACTGTTTTGTAGTTATGAAATTGTAAATTATAACAAACACATTTTGGACTGGCTGTAAAGAAAACAGTCCTTTCTACAGCAGACAGTGGGGAAAAAAACAGGAACTTTTCTGTGGTTTCATTGTTTATCCATTGAATGGCAGTTGGAGATGGGGGGGGGTTAACAATCTATCTAATCTATCTTAAAATCTATGCTGTTCTTCATATTTTCCAAACCCGTCGGATGGGCCAGATTGAAGTATTTGCTTTGTGTTTGACACTACTGTTCTAGATGGTGTTTTTAGTATTAAGAAGATCGTCCCAGCAGAGGGAGGGAAGGTGCTGGATGGTGTTTTATGCAAATCATTCCAATATTCCAGCCTCGAGTTCAGTATCCAGCATCTTCTTGGCACTTAAGAAAGTCCGTGGCACCAATCAACACCGAGCTCAAATCCGAATAAGAGAGACAACAGATGGAGACGTATTTGCATTCCCGAGCAGTTGGAGTGAACAACACAACAGATGCTTTGCTTTTATTTTTTCCTGTGTTCGCTCGGACATTTGGAGGTATGGTAGGCAGAGAAGGACAAAGAGCCAAGGCCAAATATCTTGGCTCTGCAGGGACAACAGCTGGGAGGAACAGACCAGGAAGTCGTTTCACTTCATTAAAGACTCAGCATGAGAGCAGCAGAGCTTTACTAGCTCACCCCGTTCTCATGATCACTCTACTCCTCCTCCCGCCTACTGGCCAATACACACTTGTGCATATGCCTTTCCCCACCACTGATGGTTATAAGTCCAATTAAACATGGCACCTATTCCTAAACCTTTCCCATCAGTGCAATAAACTATCCCCCAAGTCTGTTTCTATTTCTAACGTGGTCATTGAGCTTCTAAGCTCCTCACAGCTGGTCCTCTTACAAGTGTGAAAGTGCTCTCTCCCTCTCCTCCATAGCGGAGCTGCTGTTTCACAGGTAAAACAACCGATCTGCTGGGATGACGAAGTGTTTGTGGGAGTAATCTGAGAGTTTATTACCTCTTTATTTATCTTTTTCCATTTTGCCTCATTTGACTAGTTTCCTGCATGTCACCTTGCACCACCACACACTCATCACCAAGCATGTTTTTAGCAGGTACAAATCCACATCTTTTGGCATCATTGGCGTCAATGAGTAATAAACAGTTACTTCATGATTTGCTCGTTCAGTAAGTGACGACTCCCTCCCCCTACAAAAGAACACACCTGTTAGAATCTGCTTAATCCTAGCCAGCGGCCCTGCTCTCTCTGTGCTTTCTGGGGCCTGGTCTAATCCACACAAGGGCTCCGGGCCAAGGCCAGGGCAGATTAGACCCCCACCATCAATTTATCCATCCATGAACACACACCTCTGAGTCTGGCCCCTATAGCAAGTGTTTGAATTGGCCTCTTAATCCTTGGACTCAGTGGAGCCTTCCACCCAAGCACACAGCCACCTTCCCCCTCTGCCCAGACTTAATATTTATGCATCTTTTCCATACCCACTCACAAATCTGGCCCAGCCCAGCACTCACCACTCTGACCCCACCCAACCACTACCCCACTCTGCCCCCACCTCCTTTCCCACTCTGCCGCCACCTCCTTTCCCTCCCCTGGTGGGACTGAAAGCCCATTGATTTGTTGATTTCTCCCCTTTTGTCCACAGTCGGCCGAGTGTTAACGGGACACCCAGAGTCCAGAGCGCAGTGACAGGACTTTTGGCATGGGAGATTAAGGTCCTAATCTGGGCATCTGTCAATGTCCAGTACTGCTTTTTCTTTGCCGTTTGGAGAGGGGCCTTTTCTTGAGTTATTTTCAGTGTTAATTAGCTGTTCAAGCTGAAGACCCCCTGAGAAAAAAGAAAACTCCCCGATTCAAATAGAGCATAGAGGCAGTTTACAAATAAAGCCACATGTCTGAAAGCAGTTGGGCAATAAATGAAGTTGATTGATTTCTAATGCTGGTGGTGCACTGTGTTAACAAACACATCTGTAATCCTGTGTGGGCAGTTCATTGTACTTATACCACGATGTAGTACAAACACACAAACACACATCTGTGTGTATAGCTAAGGTTGTCTAAACTGTGGCAGTGTAGTTTTCAAATCAGTCCTTAGGTTATGTCCTTTATAAGTGATGAAAGAATTGTGTAACAAGGAAATTACCACCAAATTATGTGATATTACATTAAAATTATCTAATGTATGGTAAAAAAAAAAACCAAAACAAAAGAAAAACATTAGAAAACTATATGCCACCTACACCTATATGCCTGCTCATAGGGGGTCATCTGATTGTTGGGGTTTTGTCTGTTTTTTCTGTATCATTGTTGGGTCTTTACCTCACATTATAAAGCACCTTGAGACATCTGTTGTTGTGATGTGCAGTTTAAATAAATTTCCAATTTACATAAATATAACTGAATTGAATTGAACTGACTATATCAGGGGTCTGATCCCAGTCCACGAGGGCCGGTGTCCCTGCAGGTTTTAGATGTGTCCTTGATCCATCACAGCTGATTTAAATGGATAAATTACCTTCTCAACATGTCTTGAAGTTCCCCAGAGGCCTGGTAATGAACTAATGTGATTCAGGTGTGCTGACCCAATGTGAGATCTAAAACCTGCAGGGACACCGGCCCTCGTGGACTAGGATTGGGGACCCCTGGACTATATCATACAACTGTCAGGTTATAGCATGAGCAAATAGTGACCCAGGACTTAATGAGTCTATGTCTCCATCTAGTGTTGTGATATCAGATTTTCAAGTCAGTAGAGTTGAATTTGATTCGAAAGTTGAGAGATTATTTTACACAACTCATTCTTTGTGTTAGTGTTTAAGGTTTTTACATGAGCAAAAAACTGGAGGAGAATGTAAACCCAAAGCGTTTGAGAGTTTCACAAGCTCAAACTGAAAGAAGGACATGGCTGAATTTTGCATGGTTCTAGAATGTAGTAGAGTTTAACTGCAACATAAATTATTGATGACATTTAGTAAAAATGAAATTTTAGGCTTTTTGAAGATCAGATATATTTCTGTGCTAGTTCTCGTGGATTTCACGCATTTATAAACTAAAGTTATGGAGAATTATTTGAACTACTTGTTTAGGCTATGAACCCTGACAGATGAGATTGAGTGAGAGAAGCTTACATCCTCATCTATTGGTAGATCAAGAGGTCGCTAAAGTATGTCTATTAAAAACAGGATTGCATTAATGCATAGAAAAACACACATTACATTCCAAATAGTACGGCATTTATTGATCTGGGAATAAAAGAATTATGTTTTTAAGATGATCTCACAGTAAAAATACAATTTTCACATCAGTAGCAAAGAAGCAGAAAATTCTTATTTTCAATTAGAAGTGAGTATAATACTTTTGTGATTGCTGTGCAGCAACAGTACTGTCTTTCATCAGCAACAAGGAATGATATATTTAATTGTAGATGATAAAGCACTGTGTCTTTACGTGTGATGAAACCTCAAAAGCATCTGCAACAACATCATTTTTTTTTTAGTAAAGTAAAAAAAAAAAAAAAATAACAGTATATGTCACATGTATAATCATGAATAAAATATTACTGTTAAAATGTATAAGGTGTATTAACAGAATTGTACTTCAAGTTGCACTTCAAGTTGAGCATTAGTGGCTGATTTCCACAGCTGAGAATCCTGTTTGGATAAACTTAACCCGAGACGATCTTGTCACATGGCAACAGTGGGTTGACACCGATTTTCTTGGCGCATTCATTCTGCAGGAAAAATACAAAATGCTAATGAAGTTAGCATCATGCTTAAAGAGGTTTTAAATAAAGTCAGATTGTATTTAGGTAAAAATACTCTCATTTATTTTCTAGTTAAAAACATAAACTTGTGTTAATGCCAAGCTAAAACAGGACCTCTAAATCTTCCTGTAGTCTGTGTAGGTTCTCAGTCATCCAGGTTATGGTAGTCTTCAAGCATGTGAGTTGAACTGGATTTGAAAATATTTCACCTTTCATCTGAAAGGCTTCTTGAGTTCTAACAGCTGATGGGGAGTTCCCAGTATTTAACCTCTACGTTGGTTAGAAATGTTCTCATTTTGGACATGGAAGACAGACGGGTTGAGAGGAGTAAAAGAGGCTAAATTTCTATGTCTACCTTGAATCAATAAATACAGTAGCCTATGACAATAGCTATCAGTTACCTGCAACACAGGCTTGAAATACCTTCCCAGGCATTTCATCCCTCACTCACACTTTTGCTGTGTGACCTTGATGGCCCAGGGAGGGGCAGTGTCTCACAAATAAGTCACAGCTTTACTCATATGTGATGCCAGGTCATCAACTAATTTGAAGGTTGGCGGTGGATCCTTGGCTGCTCCGTTCAGCATACCTAAATACCTTGGGCAACATACTGAACGCCATGTTACTCTCTGATGCATTCATCTGAATACGAATGTTAGTTAGAAAGCACTTGGGTGTGGGAAAAAGTGCTTGTATAAATGAGTGCACTGTAAAAACTGTGATTGGGGTTAATTAGAATCTAATAGGAGAGTAATAGTAATTATTACTCAGTAAAAACGTGTATGAGTAGTTTTAATCAAATCTAAGCAAAATTCAACAATTTTGAGATGTTCAGTTATTTAAATTTACACACTTTTGTTTGGGGTAAATTCAGCAATGGTTTGTTGAGTAGATTTCAAAAAAATATGTTTGAGTACCAAAAAAATTTAAGAAATCTAATAGATTTAACTGATGAAAGCATTTTCATTTTAATCATTGTACACTTCCGCCCATAATCCTTTGTGCCACGTGCAGGACACACGCGCTTCATGAGTGGACATCTCCATTTTGTCAGAGGTAAGACTTCTTAATTTGTTCGAATATAAGACACGGTTTAAACAATAATGTATATCGGTTTTGAGTAAAGGTTTTAAACAGTATGATACGTCAAAATTTGATTAATAATCATCACTGTAATGATAGTATCGTATTTTTACACAAATGGCAGTTAGTGGACTGCTAGCACAGGGTCACGTTCCAAGCCTTCATGACTGTGTTACTGAACAGCTTTAACTAACCACATGTTTTACCGTATCAAAAAATATCAACGATATATTCCGATGAGTTTTTAACGTCTTTCATCCACGTTTAAAAGTTCATGAAAAGGTTTTGCGCTCAGTTGTGAGTGATTTAGTTTAAATCATTTGTGCCGGATTTTGTCAGCCACAGTCAGTTTTTCGAAGCTTTTGCAGTGGTTTTCAGTTGTGGTTAATGAAGCTAAAGTGGCTCAAGTCCAGC